CACACACACACACACACACACACACACACACAGAAAAAAATCTCTTGCTGTCCCCGTAGCTAATATCAAACAATATAAGGTTTATTAAACAAGTATGCTGACATAGAAGCCATCCCTTATTTCTTTCCTTTTCCTTTTCATGATGGGTGGAAAATAATATCATCGTTTTGAACCTACCTTCATTAATATGTTCTCTCTGAGCAGGCGAAATATAAACAGTGTTTTCTGAAAGGGGCTTCCATTGATTTAAGGTGCTGATGTTGCTTTTCTCTGCGATGTGAATCCAGATCAATAAAGGCTCTACTGGGATTGTGTTTGCACCATAGCTTCACATTGCAGTCCTGGAAGTGAGAAGCTGAAGTGTGTCCCTTTGTGTGAGAGAAAAAATATATCTTATTGTACCTTCTGGGGCCCAGATTGACACATGCATTGACTGAGCTTTTGTGGCTTAAGTCAAGTTGAAAATGTACCAAAGCCAATTTGAATGTTTTTGAATTGTAATCAGGTCTTTCATCTTAGAATTAGACCTCCAATAACAGAAATTGTCAATTCAATGTCTTATCTTAATTGAATTTATTAAAAAACAAACCCTCACTCTCAAACCAGCAGTTAAGATCATATTTTGGGTATGCTTCTTGAATAAATAACCAAAGTATTAATATTCCTGTAAGAAAATACATTTAAAAAAAACTGGCTGCATTCTGTGTGTTTTACAATCTGTAAAAACCTAGTGGAAGACAGGCAGTTTACACATTATTTTAAATTGCATATACTGTTTTCACAAACATAAAGAAAAAAAGATTGCAATATCAGTGTATTTTTAAAGTAGTTTGCTGGTCAGCAGCTTCTGATTAAGTGGAACACCCCAGTGTCTACACCCACCAAGTGATGTGTGCTGTGGGATCTGACAACACCCAAAAGAGCCTGAGACAGAGAGGCTCATGGGAGTGAGGGGATGAAGTACTATAGGAGGAGATTCAGGGAGAGTGGAGGCAGGGCGCTCTCTCGCTCTCGCTCTCTTTCATATGAGAGGCCATTTCCTGCTGTACTGTGCACCTCCTCTGATTAAAAAAGTCACATTCAGCACCAAGGACAGCTCTGACAGTTTCCATCAGGCTTTAACAAGTAAAAGATGGTGTCATAACAAATTGCATGGGGAGGTTTGAATTTAAAACACAAGCTTTGTTACATGGGATCTCTTCACCTTTCGTCTTCGCTGTTGTTTTAACACCGAGTATGAGCGACACTTTTCTAATACTGTTGTCTGACCTTTCGAACAATCTCAGCATGGACCCAAAAAGTAGTTAAAATCACCCCACAGGGATGCTGACGGAGGCTGACTCACACAAGCTGCCATGATGGACATAGCCCAAATAGCTCTGGGTCGAAATCTAGTGAACAGACAGGCCACTACATAACTTGATTTCACAGTTTTGTTGATGAAAGCATTCCTGGAAAGGGTTAACCTCCTGGCACGGTGCGTTATCTTATTGAAAGATTGTTGACAGATGCCGGGCTCTGCTGGCATAAAGGGATGGCCAGTTGTCCGGTAGCATTCAAATGTTCATCATAAAGGGGCTCAGTTAGTGCCATGCAAACGTCATCAACACCATCACACTACCACACTACTGCGGTGTTTTCACTCTGCATGATGGATGCATTTGGTCACACAACCAGAGGGAGGCAGCAGGAAGTGGAATTAATCAGACCAGGTTTTTCCAACTCTCCAGTGTCCAATGATGTCGTTTCCTCTCCCTCAGTACAACCTGTAATTCTTGTTCAATGTTGATAGAAACGCAACTCTGTTCGGCCATTAGCTGTCATGCACCAATAATGCACTGTTGCTGCTCTGCAGGCTTCCTGTGTGTCTATTTTAATCTCTAATCTGACACCTAGTATCGTATTTAATCACTTTTTCTTCCGTCTATTGTATCACATATCATTTACATTTGACCTCAAATCAAACAGGTCTCTTGACCTGATTCACCTAGTCAGTCTATATGTTTCTCATCAACAAGATACATTCAATTAACAAAACTAAATTCTAGTCTGTGATTCATATTTTCATGAACAGTATGAATCATTGGACTTTCCTGCTCTGTCTGTAGCACTGATTTTAAAAACACTATATATTTACATTTTTTAGAAAGGCTCAGTATTTCCTAAAGCAGCTGGGCACTGTAGTTTAAACAGCTGATACCTAGTAGTTAGTGGGATCAATTCATAGGATTTGTTGACAATTTTTTGTTGAAAAGTACACTCTTGTAAATACTACTTAACTAGTAGTGATAGAAATAACTTCAGTAACATATATAATAGGATAATATATAAAAGGAATAAAGACAGTTTTTAGAAATGTTTAAAAGACAACAAACAGTTCAATTGATTTGAAAAACATTTCATACAATACAATACAAGATGTGAAAAAATGTTGTACACTTGTGTATGTGTCATGAACAGTAATATGTGTTATGTGTTTGACAGTATCACAAATTACAAATTAAAAGCAGCCCAAATCAAACTCATTTTGATGAGAAGATGGTGACATCAACCGTGTGAGATTTGTTGTTTTGGGGCTCTCACACATGAAAGCAATACACAAGGATTGAGGATTCCCATCCATCATGCCTCACACACACACACATAAATCATCCCACCTCCATAGCTGCAGTATACATAAAGCAATATACATGCAACATCAAGTTGATCTACAACCCCTTCACACCGCTTCGCTCACCCCCCCCCCCCCCCCCCCCCCCCCCCCCTCTCTTCAGATCGGAAGAGACACCTAT